GTGACCCTGGTTCAATCTTCTCTTGCCCATATTCATTGCATAATGTTAAATAGCTAGTAGTGCATTCTTCGTCTGAACTTGAGCCAGAGTCTGGCCACTTTGGAGAGCTATCTTGGCCATCATCGTCTTGGTTGCTATCATCTTGAGAGCTCTGGGTAAGACTAGTCTTCAAAGGTAGAACTTGAAGCATGGCCCCACCATCGCTTCCTCTGGATTCAAAGCTGCTGCTGTCCTGAAGACTAGAAGTTGGCTGCTGCAGGTGAACTTTAGTAAGTGCAGATTTTTTCACCTCCTCGATGTCAAAGCTTTCTTCAGGACTTCTGTTTAGAAATTTACTGATATATGACCAGAGTTTGCCACCTGTGAACAAGTATAACAAAACAAAAAACAAAAAAATTTTTAACATCCCCAAATTAATGGTTACTTATTGAAGCTATTAGAAAAGCAAAAAGCATTCTAATAATCAATTAAAAGCCACTCAATGATACCCACACATTAATATACCCAGAATGCTGGTGGACAAGCATTTTAATAAAGTATCTTTTGTTAATGCTGACTGGTGAGTACAGTTTCAGCATAACTCCTAATACCAATTATTTTTGAAATGACAACCTATTTCTTCCTTTGAAGGGAAATTAGTTATAACAAATAATATGAAATCTCACAGCTGACTTTCTGCTTTAAAGTTAAATATAATTTAGCTTTAGAAACATATGATTGTGTTCTGATTTGTTTATGTAATAATTTTTTCAAGCATGGCCCCTTGGTCAAGTGGAAATTCATAAATAAGTACTGCTTAAAATTGTATACTTTACTGGGGGAAAAAAGTCAACAATATTATTGCATTTTGAAAATGCCCATTCCAGGATTAGAGGAGAGATTTGGCATCTGGTATATAATTATGCCATTATAAATGACATATTAATAATATTTTGCCCATTTTCTCCCCTCCCCATACACATCATGTGTGGTATGAGACCAAGTAATGCAACTGAGAAATATTAATTGGGCAGCCATTAATGAGGCAAACTATTGTAATTCTAATTCTGAATTATGATATATATCAGAAACCTATAAAAACCAAAAACATAAAAATCAATTTCACATAAATCATAGAAATCAAACAAACAAACAATAATCCAGTGTTTTACCAGCAATACTTGTTAGGCAGATATTTCACCTTAGCTTTCTTTTGTTTAACCATTAAAAACTAAACCTCTTTTGCGAATCAGAATCTTTGAATAAATAAACTATGATAAGTATCAAAACCCTACAAAAGCTCTACTGACTAGAAACAGTATTACAAGAAGAAAGAAGAGTTAAATTTAATCCAGAAATCTTAAAAACAGTAATTGCAGATGCACACTTTGTGAAGATATAACTGTAGCTTCCAAAAATGAGAAATAATGTGTTAAAAATGAAACCCTCTAGCCTGGCCAGTGTTGCTCAGTGGTTGAGTGTCGAACCATGAACCAGGAGGTCACAATTCAATTCTCAGTCAAGGCACATGCCCGGGTTGCAGGCTCGATCCCCAGTAGGGGGTTCAGGAGGCAGCCAATCAATGACTCTCTCATCACTGATGTTTCTATCTCTCTCTCCCTCTCTTTTCCTCTCTCTGAAATCAATAAACATGCTGTTTTTTAAATGAAACCCTCTATTAATATGGTGAAGGCAACTTTTTCAGCACATTTTTAATGTTGTTATTAAGCATCATATACCAAGGGTAACTAAATCTTAAGGGGAATAATCACTGACAATTGTATGTGTAAAAGGTCAATGGAAGCATCCAAAAAAACTCTTTCTACTTCACATTTCACTTCATTTAGAGAAATTCAATAAATACATAAAAAGCTCCAGGTAGTATAGCATAGAGTAACTGCTCCATAAGGGGTAACTGTCATAATGTTAATCCTAAAATATTCATACACCTCCTCTACCAGTGACCTGGTTAACAGTCTTCTTCCATTTTGATAATAATTAGTGGCACAGGACATTATGGCATTGAACTTTCCCATCATTTTCTCTTAGGTAACTTTCTGTCCTCACTACATATACTTAGTTTTTCTTATCTCCCCACATTCAAACTGAAGTTTAAAGATTCACAGGTGGCTTTGAAACTCACTCGCTCATATAAGGAGCTATGCACTGATTCCAACTTTTCTTAGTCTTCTGACAACAATATCCACACCCCTTGTCACATATACCTCTACTGTGGCACACTAACAGTAATGCCTAATTCTGTGTGCAATCCAAAAAAGCATGTGTTGTTTCAATTCATCTAGAGGGTGACTACTGTGGGGACAGAGCCAAGTCTTTTTCATCTTTGCACATGTACTTCCTACACAGTGTGCAGAACATGACAGGCACTCAGTCAACGCTTGTTAACTCAGACGGTAAGTCATCAGAATGAGATGCACCATCACAGAGTAGACAGTATCTACAGCGTAAAGCTCCAGGGATCAGCGGGGAACAGTATCTACTGAAGTTCTAAGAAAAGTTTCATTCATTCTTAGGCGAATTCCACCTGGATGAGTGGCTGAAATCTAAAATTCAAGATGCTTAACTTCTTTATTTTTGCCCCCCAAATCACTTCCTCTTTCTGACTTCTCAGCCATTTTGGGAGAAAAGCTTTGGACCAAACTTGGGTTATTTTCTCTCCCTTGTTCTTTCTACATCTGACAATTTTCTAACTCCTATAGGATCTACCCATAATGTTTGTCACAGTTTTCCTCTTCTTTTAACTCCTTTGGCCACTCTGTATTTCTTGGAATAATGTTATAGCTACAACTAAATCTCTACAATAACTGCTTCCATTTTAGCACAGATCTTATGATGTCATTTCTCCATTCAAGAACCCAAATCCCCTCCACCTACTGAATGAGACTTGGTAAAGATAATCTAAAATAGTGGAAAATTTGAAAACCAGTCTGTCTGTGTCTTTAAGACAGATTATAAAGATTTTCTATAATGCTGCAGTAAATTCGGTTGAAATATCAGCTTTAAAGAGTATAAGGGAAGGTGAGAAGACGGCAGAAGAAAAACTGAAGTATGGCTTGGAGAAGGAAGAGAACAGGAAGAGGAAGTTGTAAATAGCAGGGGTAAACTAGGATTGAAAATTTGCCACAGATAATCTCCAACATGAATAATCCACCTGGGGTAATAGCACATTGGCTATAATTACATTCATCCTACTGACCTTGTTCTAAATTATTATGGATTATTACTGCACAAGTTAGTTTTGTTCCACACCAGAGGTGGTTGTATTCTGCTATCAGATGACATGACCTCTAATTCAATAATGTCTGTAATGCACTGGTATCCTCAGATAAAAGCTGTCTATAATGTCTGAACAAAGGTGAATTAGTTATCCAATTCACACACGCAATTAACTCTCTTAATACCTGAGAGACCATGGAGCCCCTTCTGAATTTCCTATTAAGTACCACATATGGAGGTCTTCCCTCCATCTGTAGTTATCTTGTGCTGTACTTCATAATAAACAATATTAATAGTTTACTGCCGTCAAAAATCTTGCATTAGTTCTCATAAGAGACCTCAGTCTGCAAAGCAATGGCTCATTTTCCTGGGAAAATGCATTAAATTCAAATATTATGCCTATTAGTAAAGCACAATAGTCCTCTATTCTCAGTAATATAAAAATAATAGCAACACCTTCATGAAATACAGAAAATTTAATTTTTTTCACCATTTTTAAGAACACCTCTTAAAAGCCAAAAGGCAATATTTATAATGTGGATTTATATTTATATGCTGTATTTAATCATTTTATATAAGAAACTATTTAAATTCAGGCACTGAAGGGCAAAAACAAATCAAAACATAGTATTTTTGCCACCTGTTCCCTCTACTCAGAGCGAAATTTCACAAATAGTTTGAAAGCAGAGTAGTGTGCCTCTCTCTGCTTTGTCCCCATATGTGACGCCAATGGCTGCATTCGCAAAAACCCAGATTAGAACAACTAGGTCATGTCAAATGTCAAGCAAATACCCAGGCCTTCTAAAAGGGGAGGTAATTAATTAATTCTTCAGGGGGATGCTTTTATTTAAGTCATCTAACATTAAAATATCCTTCCAGCAGAGAACAAGAGAACAGAATAAAATCTGTAAAATTAAACCTGGCTCTCTTAGCACACATTCACCTGGAATTCTCATCCTATCAGGTCAAGTCTAGGAGAAAGCAAGTAATTAAGTATATCAGAAGAATGGTGCTGCAGTTCCAGTGAAATCTGCTGCTCACCTAGGTTTTCTTTCAACATTTGACCTCCCAAGTCAGAGTAGGGAGGGAAGGCAGAGGAAGAAGACAACAGTTTCTTACACGTGTTTCATAGGTTTTATCCGCTCGTGTACTGACAGAGGAAGGGCACTCTAGAAACTAAAAAGCTAAGTAGGTGACATTCTTTGCTCCAAAAACAAATTAAAGTACAAACTAACCTTCTACGTGCTGCAGCACAAGGAAAACCGACTCGTCGGAAACGATGTACTTGTGCAGACACACCATGTTGGGCACGCAGCGGGGGATGATGGTCTTTCTGTTCCTGCTGTATTCACTGCTCTTCCTTAGACCCTGACAGAGAACAAAAAGGTCAGTTGTACCCTCAGTTGCCTTTGGAGCCTGCTGTGCTCTGTGTTTATCAACCAAACTAATCTATCCGAGTTACTCTGGGCTTCAGAGAAACCACTCATCTGCTGCTCTATGCCCCTCAGTCCCTGGAGGCTCCGCTGATGGCATCTGGCGTGAGTCCAGAGAACGGAAGATGCCACAAAGCTGCCATTAAAATCAATTACGTGGGTCAGTGTTTTTATTAGAGATGCTCTCAAACTAAGTCATCAGGATGACACACAGTTATTTCTCTATGACCTTTTCTTAAGTTTTATTTACTTGTGTATATCGTTAAAGCAGTAGACATTGTGAGGGCAATTCAAATTTCTGAGACACAAAAGGTATTCCTAGATTAAACAGGCAATTTTAGAATTCTACTCCAAAAAAATCACAAAGATTTTTTAGGTTTCCTCCAGAGGAACAGGTGTGTGTAGTTCCTGGTATCATTACCTTGGTTTAAAAATCTGGGAAAATGCCAGTGATAAAGTATACTCATAAAAAGAAATTTGTTTCAGTATATGTCAACGTGACCTACTGCTATGCTGATAAAGTAAAATAAAAAGGATCAGAAAAAGAAATATAAAATTCATCTGAAATGGATTAATTCTGGATGATGTGGAAACGCTTAAATTGGGATATTTTAGAATGTGTACTGTCACAATCCATTTCAAAGACAATTTCAAAATTTAAAAATTGAAGGGATTTTCCTTCCTTATTCATTTAGTTACAAATTGAATTATGTAAAAGACTCAAAATAGAGACCAAAAAGAGGGCCAGGGATGTAGATAACAATATCCCAATTATTTGTCACAAAGACTTTAAGGTAAAAGTCTGCACTTAAGAACTGCAATCATAATCATAAGTGAGGCGGTATGTGGTCTCCACAAATTATACATAAAGTATTAGAGATGAATTTAAACTGTACAGTACACATTTAAACAACATGAAATGATTCTTCAATTTATCCAAATTATTTCCACCATACTCTATTACCTAAAACACTTTTTAAAATGTATGCTATTGAGTATTTATCAACTGGGATGAAGGACAAAAAGTAAAATAAACTCGGATCACCACAAACATAAATGCACATTCAAAAACGGAAAAACACCCAGGAAAATAATATTAAATCTTTTTTTTTTCAGAGCACAATTTGAAAATAAATTTCGAGATCATTAAACATACAAATAAAATTTAAAAATAAATTTGAATATTACTAAAAAAAGAATAATAAACCTACAAATTCTACTTACTTTTAAAATGAATGTCTGTTCTGTCCTTGTGTCCATTACAAGTAAAACCTACATCAAAAGCACAAGTAATAATTATTCACAATACGATGAAACATTAACTCATAACTTTTTAAAACTACACTTTAAGGGTTTGAGGAAAGGTACTAGAACTGACTCCACCAAAATTGTTAATTTCCTAATAAAAATTTTTTAAGGCATCAACAGGATTAAAGAAGTCTTATCTAAAGTAGGTTTTATTATGGTTTCCTTTCTAAAAATACCATATTTTAGAAACATTACTGTTTCCTAGATTTATTTTAAAACATATTTCCTAAAAGTAAAGAAAAAATTATTTTAGACAAAGAATTTTTCCTCATGAAACATTTATGGTTAAGAAGTAAAAAAAAAAAAAATTGCAGGAATTGCCAAAATCTCAATTTTCTATCTAAAATCCCTTATGTGGCCACTTGCTATAAAGTGATTTCGATAACTCAGGCTCCAGTCTAAGACACTCTTATGGTCCTACTTCTCCATGGTGGACTCATCCTAGCTCCTCTTTTTCCATCAGCAAATCCTGCCGGCGCATCTTTTTCTTTTTTATCTTTATTGATTTCAGAGAGAGGAAACGAGAGGAAGAGAGAGAGACAGAAACATCAGTGATGAGGGCCATTGATCGGCTGCCTCCTGCACGCCCTGGACTGGGGATCGAGTCCACAACCCGGGCATGTGCCCTGACCGGGAATCGAACCCCGATCGCCTGGATCCCAGGTCGATGCGCAACTGCTGAACCATGCCCAGCCGGGCTGGCCCATCTTTAAAATGAATCTTGAATCTGAACAGGCCTCATCACTTCACAGCTACTTCCCTGATCCAAAGATGCATCTGGATTACAACCACTTGAATGGGCTTAAAAGTGGATTTTCCCCCAGAGCCTCCAGTAAGGAACGCAGCCCTGCCAGCACCTTGACTGTAACTCAGCATGACCCATGCCAGACATCTATCCCATGTGACACAATAAATTTAGTTGTTTTAAGCTAAGTTTGTGGTAATTTGTTATGGCAGCAATAGAAAACTGTACAGAAATTGTGTCTTCTCCAACCTATGTGTGTCCCATAGTAAATGTTCAAAGTGAATGAATTCAGGTATAAAAGTTTGGAAGGTAGATGGCAATATGGGAATGGAGCTTAGAAAATAAGCTGAAACTAAATGTTTATATTTGCGTATTCTCCACAAAGATAACCGCTAAAGACATGAGAACAAACATACCCCACTGAAATGCTTACTTTATACCAGGCACTGTGCTGGGATTTAAAGAATTAAGTCACGTAATGCACTCAACAATCCAATGAGGTAGGTATGCTTTACCCAGTTTTACAGATGAGGAATCAAACGTGAAACTATGAACTTGCCCATGCTCACAAATCTAAGAAGTGGCAGCGGAGAAATTTAAACCCTAGAAGTCTGGCTCCAGGGTTCTTCCTTTTAACTGCTAAGCTATACTGTTTATGTCTAAATTTTGAAAATTATACATAGTTGTTATATTGAAGGTATATAGACAACAACCAACAAAAGTATAGTGAGAAAAGTACAAAGAAAACCAGAAAATGTAGTGGTTCAGAAAGAAGAAAATCATTTGGATGTCACGGGG